TCAATAACCATCTACTGAGGAACATCAAGGAACAACGACACTGGAAGATACACCTCAATACCTTCATAACTTTGTATGACGCACGATGATGATGATGGTATGCAAACAAATTCATTTGAACCAAGAAAACATAAACAATAGATTGCACAATTTATTGCCTGGCATATTTCGCTGTATCTCGTTAGGTGCATAACTACAGTAACAATTCAAGTTCCTTTCTTTCTGCACAAAGCCCAGGCAGTTTTTAGAGCGACTAGTATTGCCCATACATTATGTTCCCACTCTCGAACTGCCTTGTTTACTCCAAAGGAAAGGTAACATTACCCTTTTTTCGAACAGAGCATGCTGAAGAAGCTTCAAGATCAAAAGAGCAGTGCGGTCTGTCTGTTATGGGCCTGATTCACTCTAAAAGTGACAAGCTACAGCCCTAAAATGTCGCTGAGTGAAAATCATCAACAATGCACAAAAGTAATTATGGCATGGTGCTCATGATATAATCCTACCAGTGAAAACAGAAACATACCTTCCTGGCAACTGTTTGAGAGCCCGCTCGTAGACTGTGTTGAGTACCTCCTTCCTGGCATCTTTCTTGTGCTCAATGTACCTGAGCCAGCATTTCACATTGTAGGGGTTGCGGAGAATATCCTCCTCATACGGAAGGTCTTCCTCCTCCTGTATTAGACATAGTCAATTGTTCTCGGTCAGAAATAAATCATAAACCTACCTTTCTGGGGGGGGGGGGGGGGGGGGGGGGGCACTTATGCCTCTGGTCAATGTTAATAATCTTTGATCGCATCAAATCATTTATTTTATTTTAAGAGTAAAAGACAAATACAAATAAAAATTCTAAAACTAAATTTCTACAAAATAATCTTCAGAAACAAAAATTTTGTAAAATCCCATCAATGTAATAAAAATCTTAAATCTCTAGGTCAGCAGTTCTCAACCGTTGCTGCATGCTTCCTCGTTGTTACGTTTGTGTAGTTCACTTATGTTTGAAAAAAGCTGCAAGGCCGAAACATTACGTTTTGTTGTTTTGTGCATGTTTTTCTGCTTCCCCATTTTGTTGAGCTTTTTAGTCTAATTTCTCTGGATTAATGTTGGTATAACTGAGCGCTCTGTGTGCACTTACCAGCGATTCCCAACAGTTGCTTCATGCTGGTATAACCGAGGGCCCTGTGTGCACTTACCAGAGGTTCCCCAGTTGCTCCATCATCCATGCTGCCATAACTAAGGGCCCTGTGTGCACTTACCGCAGGTTCCCCAGTTGCACCATGCTGCCATAACTGAAAACTCTGTGTGCACTTACCAGAGGTTCCTAACCATTACTTCATGCTGCCATAACTGAGGGCTCTGTGTGCACTTACCACAGGTTCCCCACTTGCTCCATGCTGCCATAACTGAGGGCTCTGTGTGCACTTACCACAGGTTCCCCAGTTGCTCCATACTGCCATAACTGAGGGCTCTGTGTGCACTTACCACAGGTTCCCCAGTTGCTCCATGCTGCCATAACCGAGGGCTCTGTGTGCACTTACCAGAGGTTCCCCTGTTGCTCCATGCTGCCATAACTGAGGGCCCTGTGTGCACTTACTAGAGGTTTCCCTGTTGTTCCATACTGCCATAACTGAGGGCTCTGTGTGCACTTACCAGGGGTTCCCCAGTTGCTCCATGCTGCCATAAATGAGAGCTATGTGTGCACTTACCAGAGGTTATTAGATAAAAATTACTAACCAACAACGAGACTGAGCTTGTTGGTAGCTGAGAAAATAAATAAAAGAGGATTCACAATGGCTAACTTTTTATGCCATTTGCATCTGCCCAATGGTTTGAAAGTAATAGGTTCCCTGAGAATTGTTGCTGGTGCTACGGGGGCTGTGCTTTGTGCGTCAATCTTGACAGGTGGCTAGCCAGTGTGCACAGAAGGGTCAAGCCATGGTAAAATCACGTGCAAGGAAGTGGATTTTAAAATTGTATTTTAAACCTGTTGTAATCATTAACCATAAAGTGCCCACTTAAAATCTTGTGGGCATTGTTTAATGTTAATATAACAATCCTGGTGTGGATTGGGGCTAAACTAGATGGCTGGGACTCCATCTCCTGCAGCTTCCTTCATTTTATTTGCTCGTGAGTCCCAGCCATCTAGTTTAGTCCCAATCCACGCCGCATGTAGCGGCATGGGAGATCCGAGATACTCGTGGTCGAGATACACATTGACATGTGACTGAGGCCCTGTTGGGGTATATTTTCGGCCTCGTAATTTGGGACTGATATTCGGAAGATAGCCAAATATTATATTCGTTTAGAATTAACTTATAGTCTTCACTGAGGTATCCTTGGATTGGATATTTTATTAATCTCTATTTAGCTGTTCATATCATAAAAATCCAATATATAAAACTTCACTAGCATCTAAGCATCCCTACATAATACTATATAAAAAAATATTTGTAAAATGTGTTCTACTCTGAACTTCTACCCCCAAAGTATTGCGGCCTGAAATATCCGGTCAGGGCGCAGTCCAATTAAAAATATGCCAGCTCTGTATAACGAAACAAATGCTCTAAGAGGGTCTCAGCGATATGTTACTTGCGGACCTGTTTCTTATTGTTTCTGATTACCTGACAATTCTAAGAGACGCAACACTGCAGACTATAGTAGCAGACGACGATAATAGCGACCGTTGACACGACAAACAAAGCGGCAAATCTAGGATTGGCTCGGAAAAACGAAACAAATGCTCTAACAGGCTTTCAGCGATATGTTACTTGCGGACCTGTTTCTGTGACTATGCCTCACCGCCGACCGTATCACCCGCACCGCTACGCGCGACGCGGATAAGGGCAAAAATAGATGGCTGGGACTCACGAGCGACAGCTACCACATCTCCTGCAACTTCCTCCAATTACTTTGCTCGTGAGTCCTAGGCACCTAGTTTAGCCCCCCATCCGCAATGTGTGTAGTGGCGCGGGGGATACACTCGGCAGTGAGTTTAATCGCGTTTTGCGCATGCCAGCAAGTCTGACATCTGCCGCTGCTAAATCCTCAATCGGAAGAACAGTATTGCTAATCTGCATGGGAGCGCGTGGTCTACCCACCAAAATCGCTTTCATTGTCTGTAATGTCTCGAAATTGTCAACGGTCGCTTTTATCGTCTGCTAGTATTGTCTGCAGAAAACGCTTGACATTGTCACCGGTCACTTTTATCGTCTGCTACTATCGTCAGAAATGTTGCATCTTTTGACATTGTAAGGTACTCCTAGTTTTGCCGCAATTGAGTGTTGAGTTGCTTGGCGGGAACTCCGACAAGTCCGTATTTTTAATTGGACTGCGCCCCGAACGGATATTTCAGGCCGCAATACTGAGGGGGTATTCGTTCGGAGGAGAGCCGTAAAATGTGTCCATAATTTGTACTGTAGTGACTGTATTGAAAGTAATGACAGAAGAATGCCTAGCCGTAAGTTGGGTGTTTCAAGCTGATACTTCAGCAGTTAGTTCGTTTGATGTTTGAGTGATTACTAATTGAAAATTAGTTTTAAAAAGAAAAGCAAGCCGTTTAAAATAAAAATGTAATTGTAAGATTTTTTTTAAAAAGTTAATTAAATCAATGAGTAAACAAGGGCTTAAGAGGCATACATAACAAAACAATACACACGTCAAATCAACTCTTACAAAAAATATATCAGCGATAGTATTATCCTCTTCAGTTGAAACAGGCATCATAGACTCCGTAGCCTAAGAAAACCTGTGAGTTCCAGAACAGCAAATGTTTATTCACGACTTAGTGTTGTCGGAAACAGATCGTCTGGCAGCCGCCATCACCGGAAGTGGAGCGTGAGAGATGTCTACCAGGTATCTGCCCGCCCCTGGGGAGGAAACCAAATGTAATATTGTTGATATTCCTCCATCAGAAAAAGAGATGAGGAGCTCTCGTTCTTTCATCCGTCATGAAACGATAGCTGATTGTCTGTGAGTGATTTATAAGTCCAGTACAGGCACGGGAAGCATCAAGAACAACGAAGTCAGGGAACAGTATATGTATGTCAGTAGTTAAATGACCTGTCATGTGTTATATGTGACACATTGTATGTAATATATATATCCTGTGCACAGGGAGTCGTTATGGTGTAGCGTCTAGACGCTTGCCTGTGGATCAAAAGGTCGTGGGTTCAGGTCTTGACGGAGCCGTACTTGTTCACAAATGACCTTGACTCCCAGGTCGACCCAGCCTTGAGTAGGTACCAGGTGCAGTCCTGTGAAGTAAATCCGCCGGCGTGATGCTGACCACATCACGTGCCGAGTGGTCTATAAAATATAGGTCTAGCCCTATATGCCCAATACGCCTGAAGGCGTGCGAAAGGGTACTATATTCTGTGCACGAAGACTTTTTAGATGAAGGAACAATGATACAGAGAAAATATTAGGGGTTAAGGCCGCACCCCTTATAATTGTTGTAAGGTGTGCGGGAATGCTTCCAGGTAGTATACCTTGTTAAAGTCTGCAAGAATAATTTTAAAAATGCATATTATTTATTATTATTATCGTCATCATTACGCACTGCTACTCTGAAATATAACTTTGAGCCTGCCTGCAAGTATTATCGCGTACATACCACCGGGGTATTTCTTGTACATCACAGAATTACCCGCATGGCTTCATTCTGTATGCGTTTAAATTTCCTCACCTGACTCTTTGAAATAGCAAGCATTCCAAGTCTATAATCTATCACTGATAGGATCACGTGCTGGAACACTGTGAACTGCATTTTTTGTCACATGTCCATTGCTGCCATAATCTTGAGAGCATTGAGTCCTTTCTGTGTGTATTATTTTAATCGCAGTTGCCTCCACATGATTAATTAAGGACGGGCTTCTATCGAAATTGATATCTAGGTCTCAGTTTGCTTTTTCTTGTTGATATTTATATCATTAATTGTAAAGCTCGAATCATTACCTCTTACAATTCTATTGTCCCAGAGAGCACCATAAAATAGCCGTCTTTTCTGAGTTGATGACAGCACCCATCTCTGCCAGTTTCCTGTAGCTCTTGGGCAGTCTGTTGCCTATCACTTCCCTGCCTTTATGCAAGAACATTATCTGAAAATGCCAATGTCCTTCCAACAGCTAGAGCTTCAAGTTCTGCGATCTTGCTTGTATACACATTAAAGAGCACTGGTGAAATTGCAAAAGCTGGGGGGGGGGGGTGTAGTCCCGAGGCCGATATTACATGGTTCTGAGATCCATTTGCCCAGGTAATGGGCAAACATTCGTGAATGCAGGACAGCTGCTATCCAGTTTACAAGTCAGGGACAAACTCCCTTTTGTCTGAGCCCAGATGTCAGAATTATCATTTCTGGCTCTACTGTAGGCATCCTCAAGGGGGGAAATCCCCCTGTCTATGTGGAACCCTTCCTAAACATCAAAAGTAGCTGCATTTAACCAAATACCTTACCTTGGCCAGGTAAATACCCAAACCTGTTGACAGGAGCTCTCCCCTTTCCGAAAACATATGTAGTTTGCTCTGTTAAACATCAATAATCTTCTCTAACACCTTCTCAAAAATGTTGTGTAGGGTGATAATCCTGAAACCGCTGAGTCTGGAATGATCTTTGCCTGCTTTTGGAAGTGGAACTTTGTAGCTGTGTGCCCAAATTAAGGTTTAAGCCTGTTGAACTTCCAACCAGAAAATTTGCAAGGGCTGGGCGCGAACATGTTAAAGGGATTAGCACAGGCGCCGAAACTTGGAGCCTCAGGCACAGTGATGCGCTTCCCAAAGTAAATGGGCAAAGAAGACTAAATGATTCCTCTACCCATGTATAGGCGTTCTTTCTTAAAATATTTGTTTATTCAGTTCACGTTGCGTTAAATGCATTGTTACATTTTTGCCATTCAGCAAATACTAATAATACTACACACTTAAACAAGGCTTAAACCTTTCGAGTTTAGCCCCTAGAAAATTATACAAGGACTGAAGCTCCCACCTCCTGCCAGATTTCTTGGTGGTGGCCGCTTGGGAATAATTCAAAACCTGGTTTGCTGGTAGACTGAATTCCTATGTCGCCAAATTTTGTTTGTTCCCAACATAAACAGTTTTTAAATGAAATGGGTTTCACAACAATTACTAATCTTGGTAATAACATTACAATTATAAAGACTGGCATGTTTAATGCGCTGTTTGTATCTCATTCAATCAATCAATCGATCAATCAACAAACAAGGCCCCCATCTTAACAACACAGGTTGACTGTAACAGATATCCATTATGCTCCTTTTTTTTCGCTTTACGTGTACACAGTTTGAGCATGCTGTACGTTTATTTATGGATGCTATCATCCCAGTTGTACCACTGTCTGCCTCTTGCCATCATTCTTTTCCTCCAGCTTTTTTTAAAAAGTATCCAGAAACCATGAATTGTAAACCCTTTGGCTCGGTACTATGGATATGGCAAACCTTCGGCCTTGATTTCACGACAGATACACTAAATTTGGGAGAAATCTGGCTTTTCTGTCTATACCAGGGCGTGAAACTAGAACACACGGAGTTCGTCACATGGTCGCCGAGCAGAGGGTTTTAACCAACCAGCGAGCCGGGCTGGGGTTTTATAAAGAAAAGTATATAAGCAAGCTTCACAATATAACAAATACAAACAAAACGTGAACGTTGCGGCTATTGAGCTTTCATCAGCACTGGTTTTTTATTAGAGTGTTATGTATGTGTTTTTAACACGCTGAAATGCATCACAGGATGAGTATGTCAAGATGGTCAGTTCTAACAAAATTAAAATACCCGACGTGTTTGCACATTATTTATCTGTTTTGTTGGCACCTGTTCTCTTTCCAGGCGAAAGTCATACTGTGTTATAGGCAGGCATGGAACTCCTAACCAGTGGCGATGGCGAATGTGATTAGCTAGAACCGACCGCGCTAAGAAAAGTCTTCCACAATTATACCATCGGATTTGAGGACAGTTGTTGCCATCATTTGTATTTGACATGTTTGTTCTCAGACGCTCAGATCTCATCCTTTCTGTAATCATTTCTCCCTTCACTCTAATTCCCTTCTAGATTTGTCCCCTTCACGCAACACGGTCTATGGTATTTTGTTAACACGAAGCCACCTCAGTGTCTGTATCATTCGTGTCCCACGTGCACACATCTTTTTATCGTAGTAGAGGTAGGCCTCGCCTTCTTCTGACCATCTGTAATTCATCAAAAAGCAGGGCGTGGACCTATGATAATTGCCAATTGAATTGTATTAATGAACATATAATATAATATGTCTGTATTCCATAGTTGTGGATTTCTAGCTGTTTGATAGACATGACCAACGAAGACACCTTTTTTTAGGGGTGCCTAGTTATGAATCTTAGTAATCTTGTTTCCACACTTGTGAGCGGTGAGCACACACCATTTGGAGGTTTCAGGTTCGATTCCCGGCACGGCAACTATAGTTTTCGATTTGTATGTTGTGTGGTGTGTCCTTCCATCTTTCTACTTCATTCTGTGAGTGCCGATAATAAATTATCTGTTTTTTAATATATATATATATTATCAAAATTCTCTGGCCAGATACAATCTCAAACACTAAACTACTTCAAGTCACAGACCAAGAAACTAAAGACAGTATTATCTTCTTCTTCGTTCGACATCAGTCATGCTAAACATTGAATCCCGTCTGGGTCACAAATAGGATTGTGCGTCTAAGGTCGCCACCGGTCCCCCACAGCTTCTCTCGCCCTTCGAGGAAGGGGGCCCGGCGCCATCCCCACCCGTCCACGTCCCATAGGAATGACACCATAACGTAATAATGTTGTTTGCATGACCATATCGCTAGTGCGTAGATGTCCGATTTTTAGTCCCGTACCAAGTAGGCTGGCATCCTCCGACTTCGACGGTTGAGGTTTATTTTCAGGATTCCCCCTCCCATAGGCTGATTCCCTTCCAGGTCTTATGAGCTCTGCCTACCCACATTTTCTGTTGGGCTTTGTTGCACTATAGACAGTACGATAACCAGGAGAAGATGGAAATGGCTTGGCCACGTTATAAGAATGAATCCTGATAGACCTGCCAAAACAGCTCTCACATGGATACCAGAGGAAAAGAGAAAGAAGGGGCGCCAAAAAACCAACATGGAGACGAACGATGGAAAGTGATCCGAGTGCGGCATCTCTGACATGGAAAACTGCACTGAAGATTGCACAGGACAGGAAAGCATGGAAAGTCCTCTCTGAAGCCTCATGTGCCACAAGGCCTAAAGAGAACAGATTAACTGATTATATATATATATATATATATATATATATATATATATATATATATATATATATATATATATATATATATATATATAGTATTAATGATCTTTTTATGTGAGGGCTCTCTCCTGGGACGATCCGTGTTTTCAAGATGTTGGCCACTAAGTAAACTTAGTTGAATAGTCCTGATATAGAGTTGTGTTATTAAGGACTACTACCTTCGATTCTCCGGGTGTAACCCAGCCATCTGAGCATTCCAAGACTGAGCATTAAGAAAACTGTTGTAATACCTGCTCCTTCCAATACCTTAGTGTTTGTGATCTTGTCTTGTCACTTAATGCCATTATATTTATCTCTGGATGTTTTATATTTGCTGTTTAACAACAGTGTTAATACTACCACCCACAAGGGCCGTCTTAATGAAAGGGCTTCTGGGCATAGGAACCGATGTTAATCTTAGCATATGTT